AAATTGTCTGTTTAAACCATGTAGGTCCCAAAACTTTTGAACCTGTGGACTTTCAGAAAAGAAACTTTTCAAGCACACATTGAACACTTAGTTTAACTTGCCTACTACAACGTTTCATAGAAGAATTCAGTCATTTCTGCAATTTCTTTTAAACCAACAAATATCAAATTTATATAGCTACATTCTGTGGGGACATTTTTCACATAAATGGGCAATTTCTTTACTTAAAAAGGCTAATTTTATGACTATCATATCTTATGAAAATGCAATATAAAATGTTTTTTTCCCCCGTATTTTCTTCAAACATCACGTCTCAAATTTCATTTCAAGCTCTTCTTTGACACTTTTGTCTTGGTAAACAAGTGCAATAAAATTTGGAGAAACTTCACTAGAACGAAACTGGTGGTTGTGGTGAAAACCGCGCAACAACTAAGTCATAATTTGTGTAAAAATGTCATTTTGATATTTGTGTAGTCCTGGAGGGCCGGTGTCCTGCAGAGTTTAGCTCCAACTTGCCTCAACACACCTGCCAGCAAGTTTCAAGTATACCTAGTAAGACCTTGATTAGCTGCTTCAGGTGTGTTTGATTAGGGTTGGAGCTAAACTCTGCAGGACACCGGCCCTCCAGGAACAAGTTTGGTGACCCCTGATTTGTTTTATTGTTTGTGAAGACCAACATTTTTTTTTTTTTTAAATGAAGGATTTTCATACTTTGAAATTGAATATTTGGGTCTGAGACAAGGGTAAAAAAAATACAAAAATCTATATATAAAATGCATTTCGAAAGTAACTAATGTGACCTTTATACAACAAAAAAGTTGCAATTTGTTAAGTTTCAATTAAAAAAAACAACAACAATCCCATATAAAAGTGGTCACACAGATATGAGTTTCTCCCTTGTGGCCTCGTTGTGTTTGCTTGAGCAGGTTTAGCTACATGGACTTACTCAAGCAAACAGCATTACTGTGAAACAGAGAACAGAAACACGTGTCGGGGTAAATGAGGACAGATCTGGGTATTGCAGCAGTTTCCTGATACACAATACTTTCACCTTTTCAGTGTCTTACCCTTGTTTTTATGTGATATATGCCCAGAAATACAAGTAAAGAAGATACATAATGACCAATGCAATGCAAGCCTGAGGTGCCACTGTACAAATAAATGTGTTTTGTACGGTGTACAATAAATGACTGTAATAAATCTCAGTACTCCAGGGGACGATAGAGTTACCTTCAAATGTCTGAGCCATTACACTGAAGTGTTATTTAGGATATGAATTATATAAACATGTCAAGCAAGATTCTGTCTGCCATGACAGGAGTTACTGTAAATCAGACCAAAGACGGTGGCTGTTGCCAAAAATGTAGACATTGCTTAAAATGCAACAAACATGGGTTATGAATTGATACCAATTAGGCCCTTATGATTTCTGCAATGATGAAAATACAGACAGAATCCAGACATAAAAGTGGAATTTACTGTAGCTATAACATGGAATACAGAAAATCATTAAGTTAAGTTTTATCAAATAAATTCAATTGATTAGACATGCATTGTAATTATTAAAATTTAATTAGACTACTACAATGGAAACCAGACAAATCAAAACAGAAAACAAGGAATTTTAGAAAAAAAATTAAACAATTTTAGGAAAAAAATTTATGTATTTCATAAGGTTGTAAAAATTAATTTTTTGTTAAACTTTTCATAAATTGTTGTTAAAGTTTCATGATTTCAATTATTAGACATTCATTTCAATACATTTTTGATTACTAATATTTCATTTGATCATTAAAACTTTTATTGAAAAAAATTTAATGGAAAAAAAGAAAAATGTAAATGGGGGGAAACTGCATTTGGAGAAAAAAAAACTGAATTTGGAGAAAAAATAAATAAAACAGGCCTTACAAATTTCAGCAAAGTACTTCTTCAAAATTGGATTTATATTAAAAAAAAAAGAAAAGAAAAAAAGAAAGGTTTTAAAAAAGGACACACATCTGTCCCATACTTAAAGTCAATTCAAGAGACACCCAAATGAAATATTATTAATATATAAACACATTTCATTCACAAAAATGAAAATAGGGTGAATAGATAGGCATTTAGAAAATAGATAGGGTGAATAAAAACCATATTATAATATATATTTTATATTAAACTCTAAGATAATAATTTATTACATCTCTTTTAAAAAATATATAAAATATTTTTATAGCATAGTCATTATCATTCAAAAAGCAACTGTTCAGTATTGAAGAAAAAAAAAACGAATCCCAGTAAAAGCAGATTTCAGGCCAAGCACAGTCTCAGCCAACTTAAAGACCCAGAAACGTAACACTGCAGTAGCTTTTGGCCGACTGCACTAACAAAAGCATTGAAAGACAGACGCGTGCGGCAAATCAATGCCACGTCACTGCAGGCGTCTGAACAGCAGGTGCTGCTCTGAGAGCGGGGGGTCGAGGACTCAATGAGACCGCTGTGCTTCCACAGGCACGTTTGGGATACACCGTCCAACTTCTGTGAATCCTGCTCACGGGGGGACGCTCCCCTCACGGAGGAAATGGCAAAATATAAATAGCTGCTTTCACCATTTTCCCAACCCTTTCTCCTTGATCCCGGGCCCCTCAGCTCAGCGGGATCCGGGGCCCCAGACAAAATGTCTCTCGCTCATTCATTTGAGTTCTCTCTCTCTCTCTCTCTTTTTTAACTTAATGAGAGGCTGTGGAGAGAGCTGTCAGTGTGACAATAATTACAGAAACTCACCAGCTGCAACAGGCCCCGGGCCCCAAAACATTCATACACACAACTGTGAGGTCATGGAAAAAAGCAAAAAATAAAAATAAAAAAAAGGGAGGCCTACTGTATCTCGGCCGTCTCCCAGACGCTGAATACTGGGTTACTTTAATAAGACGACAGTAGAGAATCAAATAACAGTAGTTATGACTGCTCATCCCTGTAATTCAGATAATGCCAAGCTCAGTCACACAGGCCACCAGATAAACACAAAACCACAGAAAGGGGGATATTAGCAGCTGAGTCACTGGCTGGACCAGGTGTGTATGTGAAGGGAAAAAAACCCCAAAAAAGCTGCATGTACTCTGACAGGAGGAGAGGTGTGCAGATTTCTGCAGGGCAATGCAGCGCACCGTACCCAACACAAAACCACATGAAACACACGTGATCACCTGGAGAAAACATATCCTGTCACAAATAACCAAGAAAATTTGGAAATCGTGTGTAAATGTATAGGCCTGTGGGTGTTCGACAGGGTGTTGCTATGTGGTTGCTAAGGTGTTTTAACGAGTCGCAATGTGGTTGCTAGGGTGTTGGGGTGGTTTCTAAAACAAAAAAGAGCCCACGCTCAAGTCTCAGGGATATTCTGAGAATATAGTAGAGTGAAGTCATCTACATTGTTTTGATCATCGTCAGGCAAAAATGATCTCTTCGAATAACCTACGTTATGCTTTCAATCAGTAGTGACTAACTAGTTGGGACCAAATTATCGATAAACTTATAATTCCCATCATTTACAGAAATATATTTGTTCTTTCTTACAACAGCTTCGGTTTAATGTTTGAGCTTGAAATTAAAGTCGATAGTAGAACGAGTGTAAAAAATGAAAACATTGGAATGAAATCACAACATTTTTTATTTCCTAACATACATAATTTTAGATAACATGAGGTGGGACTAGGGATATGCCGGTATCAAATTCTCATGCTTTTATCACGGTATACGGTATTATCACGATATTGAAATTTAGTTTCGATGTGAAAATAATACAAATGCATGAAGTACTGTACCATTACATTCAATAGCCCACAGCTGATTTATACAGACCATAAAGACCCTGGATCAGACCACAAACCAGCATTTAGACATGAGCCGAGTGCACAGCAACTAAATCTAGTCATAGTTTCTGTCTATTTGGTGTTGTCTTGATAACTGTAGCATAATAATAACCACACATCAATCCCCAAATCCCAACTAAACAGATGTCACAGTCAAAAATCATAATCATATCTCATGGACAATGATAAAAATAGCAATATTTGCAGTTTATAGCAAATAAAACACCTTTTTTTCTCAAACAAAGACCCTCATAAAGCTAACAGCACTGCAGTGTGCATTGAGATATCAATGTAAATGCCATAAAGGCCTGTTGAACACAAACATCACAGCAGCTTGTGTATGATTCATGTTTTTAATATGAATTCTCATCAGGCCAATTTTCAACATTTTCTGTATATATGGATGTAATGCAGTTTGTCCTGAAATCACAGCAATGTGAGGCCTGACCACAGCCTTTACACAATCCCTTGAGCATTCCACTGATTTATCTATAGCACACCTCTGTGACTGTTTCTTTTCATATTTCTATCGTTACGAAGATAATAGTTTCCACCCAGAACCACCCCCGGATTTACTGCTTTAGCTCTGCGCGCTACAATCAGACCATAAACTCTCTCAAATATCTGTCCTCTTACCCTTCAGTGACCCGAGGTGCACCCCTGACTCCCGTGTATCCCGCACACACTCGAGGATCAGCACTGTTTAGATCACAGGCGTGTTTTCCAGCTACATATTCGCGGATGCTTTCATGGGAACGGGCTTCTATGCATCCAGCGTGAGACCTGCGGTTCTACTCAATGCACTGCTGCGCTATCTAACCTGCTTTAGGAGGCGGGGCCGTCTAGCACTTACTCGTTTACTCATTGGTTAGCCAAGAGTGATGTCTCTGCTCATTGGTCAGTGCACACGTCCATCAATTGCATGCGCTGGGCTCGTCCCGAAACTGTGGAGTTTCGGTAGAGGGTCAGTTTCGCAATTCCAGATTTTTATAATAATATATTATATTATGTTATTAATCGATTATACAATTAATCGCAAAATAAATGTGACTTGTGAAAATACCCACAAAAGATTATTTAAAGATATGTTTGTGTTAAATGAGAAAGAATCAAGTAGATATTGCAAATTGTAGCTTTAGAAATATTTGATTTGATTGCTACAACGGCTATAAAAAAAAGAAAAAAAAAGCTTTGTTACCAACAGTCTTCAAAAAGTCCCTTTAAGGGTATTCTATATTCTTTTAAAAGAGATAAATATAGAATATTTATAAATATGTTTATGTTCCACAAAAGAAAGGTTTGAAATTATATGAGGGGGAGTAAATGATGACAAATGATTTATTTTTTATTTGTTTTTTATTATTGAAATGATACTCTAAATTAAAGAAACTAAATCTGCCAGCAGGTGGCGATAAATGCCTTTAGGGTTGGTCCAAACGGCTGATTCATTCAGGAATGAAGTAAACGGCTCTCTTTGTGAATGTGGCTTTGACTCATTGATTCACACGATTCGATCAAAATGCAGATTCATTCAGAAACTAAACACAGCTGTGTTGCTCGGAGACACACAACAGTTCTACTGTGGCTTTAAAGGTAATATATTCTTTGCAAAATTGAGCAAAAACATAACATTGTGTTTAAAATATAACACAATATCAACTTATTTACTGAACTGTTGTATAAAATTACATTTAAACTTGTGATATTCGGGACAAAATCAGTACTCGTGTGATGATAGCCTACTGCTCTCCCTGCTCCTGTGATATCGTATCATATAAATATGAGACAAAAACACATACAGGGGCATTTTTGCACCAATATCTTGAATTTTAGGGCATAACTGCATTTATAAAGTGGTTGCCCTGCATCATATTTGTGAACAGTTGCGTGATTAGTGACGAACGCGGAGACAAAACAAAACAAAACGCCGGTCATGAATTAGAAGCACAAAACGAGGATTTGTAAAGAAAAATGTCGGAGGATTTCAATATAAACCAAGAGGAGACTGGTTTTCCTTTGCTAAAGTAAGGAAACTTTGTTTCCTTTGCTCCTGCATTTCTCAGAGGCGCGAGCACGACGCATATGTCTTACGTCATATTATGTTTGAAATATGGATATTTATCTTACAAAAATGCATGGATTCGCTACATGAGGCCTTTATTCACCCCCCGGAGCCGTGTGAGGGACGTTTTATTACGGATGTGCGCACTTTATTTCACGTCTTCTGAACTGTTGACAGCCAACGCCTGCTTAACCCCATTGAAAGGCTTGGAGGGGCCAGGACAATTTTTAATATAAGTCCGATTGGATTCGTCTGAAAGAAGATACACCTATGCTTTGAGGGTGAGTAAAACACAGGCAAAATTTGCATTTTTGGGTGAACTAACCCTTTAACTGTGTTAAAATATTTTAATTGCGTTATTTTTCATAACCAATTAATTAAGTTAACGCGTTAAACTGACAGCCCTAATATATATATATATATATATATGATCGTGTTATTATCATTAAAGAAAAAAAAAGAAGTATCAAACACTAAGACACTGACATTCACTTGACTTTTTTATGTCAGAAATATAATTTGTAATCAGAAACTTTATATTAAATTAGACAAATAAAAGCAGTGATCTTAAACTTTTGGACCAAATGTATACTACATTATAAGATGGCAGGATGCATTGTGTGTATAATGCCTCATCTTCTGAATTTGCTATCAGCTTATCTCTAAACGCACCTGAATGAGTTACATTGATATGACCGTATTCAAAGTCTCTCACGCATGGCTGATAGAGCCATTAGATGGTGCACAACACGCTGCAGGATGCAATCTGTTTCCTGTCCTAACAGATGGACTTTACTGTACATGTCCTGCACCACCCCTGCCTTGTCCTGTCCATAATCCCAGCGCTTGATATGAACACGGTCTACACCCCGAGAATCCTGCATCCTCGCGCTCACACTATCCATCACTACACTGAGTGCTCTGAGCTCTCTGATTCAGACATTCATGAAGAATTTGGTGAACATATGATGATAATATTACTTAGAGGAAGAAAGAAAGTGAATGTCTAGCAATGTATAAATGTTCATTGTAAATGGCTAAATATCAAGTTTTATGAAGGATTAATACAGGACATTTTATTAAGTGTAATTATTGATAAAGTATGAAATTGTGAATGTACTGTTCTTAAAGGAATAGTTTACCCCAAAATGCTAATTTGCTGAAAATTCTCACCCTCAGGTCATCCAAGATGTGGATGAGTTTGTTTCTTCATGGGAACAGATTTGGAGAAATGTAGCATCACTTGTTCACCAGTGGATCCTCTGCAGTGAATGGGTGCCGTCAGAATGAGAGTCCAAACAGCTGATAAAAACATCACAATAATCCACAAGTAATCCACACCACTCCAGTCCATCAGTTAATTTTAACTTCAAACCATCACATCAAAATCCACCCATATATTTCCTTAGATCTATTCTTTAGACGTAAATGTTGCTCAATCTGTCCATATTTCTCTCCTGATTCAGATGAGGTGGCTTTTCAATGAAGAAAGCTATATTATGGATAGTGGACTTGTATTTTAGCCAGAAGCAACAGTGTGAAGACTACTTGTGGATATTTTGTTTTTATCAGCTGTTTGGACTCTCATTCTGACGGCACCCATTCACTGCAGAGGATCCATTGGTGAGCAAGTGATGCAATGCTACATTTCTCCAAATCTGTTCTGATGAAGAAACAAACTCATCTACATCCTGGTTGGCCTGATTTTCATTTTGGGCGAAACATCCCTTTAACTGTTATAGTTAGACTATAGTTTCTTTTATAAATGAATAGATGAAACTCATGTTGTTCCAAACCCATATACGGTTATTTTTGTTTTTGTGGAACACATTTCTTTAAGAAACTTCATACAGCAAAGACAGTCCACAAATGAGTAGTTCATATGACTGCGCTATATTCCAGGTCTTATATACAAATGCAATAGCTTTGAATGTAGTGCATCTTTTTGGGTCCTTTTTGGAGCTTGACAAACTGTATCGAAAAGAGCTGCATTCATTTTAATTCTTCAAATCCCCTTTTTATATCCCACAGAAAAAAGAAAAAACATCTTACTGGCATGAAACAAGGTGAGGCTGAGTAAATAGTGATTTTGATTGAACTATTCCTTTAAGAATGAGATGTCTCCAAAGCCTCCAAAGTGCCACCTTGTGGAGCACTGGGGAGATCTCATGCTCTGCCATTTAAAAGATTCATTACAAAAATATCTCTAGGCCCTGCCAACAAACCCAGCAGCGATTCATCATGACCACAGCTTTCATATGCCTGAGGGAAACAATGATTACTTTGATCTTAAATATAACCTTTGTGGCAGGGTATAAACAACACTACATACCACCGAAAATGAAGCTGGTAAACAGCAGAGCGGCTGGGGTTATTTAGAGTGGGACTAATTTCATGAGATTCTACCACAGACCACCAAGATGATGACAGTTATATATATTTACAGGCCTTTTAAATCCTTCATATCGGAAGCAGGAGATGGGGAATGAAAACACAGAGCATGTGCACAACCCAATTCACTACAGCTACAAAAATGATGATGGTTATGATGATAAAATATTAACAGATATTGATAATCATGAGAGTGAGTCAATTAAGTTTTGACAAGAGAATTGTCAGAACTGAAATGGAAGACACTTCCTCTGTGCCTGTAATACATCATTTGAGGTTGTGTAATCTTGTCAAAAGAGGTTTTCTTTCAAGTCTGATGAGATTAAAATATAATAAATAAATAAATAATACAATGATGCCTAATTCCAAGCACAAATTCCTCCATCACTCAGGCAGGGATTGTATCGATCGCCACGCATACCGAGACAGAACTGAAGAAAATCAATACAAGTTCATTTATAACATTTTTACAAAAGGGTTTTTGTTCTCTTTAGAAAAATAGCCCACATAAATATGGATGAGTCTAACCTTACCGAAAGGTCAGATTAGAGCAGTTGTTCTGGACTGGTGGGTCATGACCTGAAGAACAGGTAGGAATTGGCCAAAA